TTCACACACAGATACAGGGAGGCTAGACCGATACAATTCATTTATTTTGGTTTATAAATTAATGTCAAGACATTTATGTTATTGATTTCTGAAGCACTTTCTAAATAATAAAAAGAGAGTTCATATGTATTTACTGCATGTATGCATTGATGAAAAATAAGACATGTGCAGTAATATAGAAAATTGAGGATGCAACGCATTGGTATGAATCGTGATGCATCGGGATATCAAATTGAATCAAATCGTGAGACCAGTGAAGATGCACAGCCCTAGTGATTACCTCTCCTATATCAGAAGAGCATCAGGACTGTTTGAGGCATATGATAGCTATGTGATTAACATGATGATTCAGCCTCTATGGAGAGAGACATATGACAAGCATGCTCATTTCTGACGTGGAGCTAATCTGAAGTAAACATTGAATACTGCTTTCTATTCCTCCATCTTGTGACTGTGGAACTCCCTCTCTTGGATATCAGCATGTGAAGGACACTGTTCAGGAACTAGTTGATGCTCTGTATGTGATGACTACTTCCATTCTGGAGAGGATCACAGATACATGGATCCTGAGATTCAAGCTCAAGCCGGGGACCAGGGATTATTAACATTTTGAGAAAAAGTCATAATTTTTTGAGATTTGAGAAAAAGTCATAATTTTGAGATTTTGATAAAAAAAGTCAACATTTTGAGGAAGAAGTCATAATTTTGAGATTTGAGAAAAAGTCATAATTTTGATATTTTGATAAAAAAAGTCAACATTTTGAGGAAGAAGTATAATAATAGTATTTTTAGAAAAAGTCTTTGAGATTTTGATAAAAAAAGTCAGATTTTTTCGGGTCCTCCGCTCGCATCTCCTGTGGGCGGGACTAAGTCTCGTCGAGGAGGGGAGTTAGAGAAGTGAGAAAGGGCCATTGTTAAGACTTGGTGATGACCTGCTGACCTGCTGATCTGCAGGTTTCCCCCAGCATGAGCGCTGAGGAGCTGACCAATCAGGTGCTGTTCATGAGGAACGTCCCCCCTGCAGAGAGAGACGTCTGGATGACCTTCGAGGTGCTGGAGGATGGACAGCTGGGTGAGGAGCTGTCATCATGTCATAATGAGAATGTGCTCATATGATGACAATAATAATAATGAGAATAATAATAACAATGTACGAGCCGGTCATTAATTATCTATGGTGAGTTCAGGGTGCGTGGGACATTTACCTGACAGGTGTTGTGTTGCAGAACGGCCTCTGCTCCCCAGACAGAAAGTTCTGGAAGAAGCTTTGCAGTGGTGCAAGATGGCCGACCCGAGCTCAGCACACCTGGTGGTGAAGAAAGTTCCTAAAACAGACCTCCTCACCTGTAGGTACACACACACGCACGCACGCACGCACACAGGCACGCACGCACGCACGCACACACACATACAAATGCATGCACACACACACACACACACACACACACACACACACACACACACACACACACACACACACACACACACACACACACCCCTCAGCATTACTTCCTGTCTCTCAGCCTATCACAGCGACATCATGAAGGTGGGTCTGCTGAGGTGTCGTGAGGAACCTCCGAAGCTCCTGCAGGGGAACAAGTTCCAGGAGAGAACGTTCCAGATCAGGGAGAACAAACTGCTGCTGCTCAAAGACAAGAAGGTACTTAGTGTGTGTGTGTGTGTGTGTGTGTGTGTGTGTGTGTGTGTGTGTGCGTGTGTGTGCACTGTCTCCTGACAGTGTGTGTTTTTGTTCAGAGCATCAAACCAGAGAAGGAATGGTCTCTGAAGAACATGAAGATCTACATCGGCATCCGCAGGAAACTGAAGGCTCCGAGCAGGTAGAACACACACACACACACACACACACACACACACACACACACACACACACACACACACACACACACACACACACACACACACACACACACACACACACACACAACACACACACACACACACACACACACACACACACACACACACACACACACACACACACACACACACACACAGGGAATAGGTATTCATCTCCAATTAAACTATCTTAGTTCAACAAAGACACAGCAAAGAGTTTGGATTTGCCCATTACTTGTGTTTCATCTTAAATCTTCTTTCAAACATCTAATCCATTTCTTCAGATGTTATTCTTTTGTTACGACACAACAAAAGAATAACATAATAACAAAAGTTAGAGCTGGGGCGGAAACATTTCTTTTTTCACGTTATTGGTATAATGTGTTACGCTTTTTGTTGTACGTGCAATGAGTTGGAGCGCTAGCCAATAGGAGCGTGAGTGTTCCATAGTGATGTCACAAAGGAATCCAATGGAGGGAACACAGTGATTTGAGTCTTTGCAGAGAGTTTCCATGCACTTACACTACAGAGAGGGAGCACCACAGAAGAAGAACAGGGCCTCAAATAATGACTTATGGACTTTAAAGAGCCCAGGAGTTATACTGACAGCACACCAATCATACTAGCATGGCTTCATCTTGTTCTGATCCATCTTCTGCAGGTGGGGGTTCACCGTGATGTCGGACAAACACCAGCTGTAAGTATGAATCTTCTCATTGTGATGGAGAATTAAAGAAAGACATGATGAAAGACATGCAAATACATTAAAGAGACAGGCGCTTCAAATGGAAAGGCAGGTGCAAGTCTTCAGCCCTGATTTAAATTACAGAATTAGTTGCACATGTTCGGAGCATAACACGTGCTTAGTTTAGATTCTGAGGACAGATAAACAGCTTCAATAAAAGTACTAATATTACAGTGTAGAAATACTAATAGAGTACTGCATTGGCTATACTATTGTATTCAAATGATTGATGCCTAGTGTGAAACATCTGATCACATGACAGGTTTGAAGCGATCTCGGTTTAATTTAAATTCAGCCTTGCGCAGTGTATACACCGGGTCGTAGGAAGTATTAATACACGAGAGTATTGCAAAATTCTGTATTTGATCAATTCCATCACAAACACTATATCTATGAGATAGGGTCCCCCTGATCTCAGGAGAAGGGAAGCACTGTATGCAGAGGATGGTCTGTTCTTCATCCCAGACACTTCCTAATAGTAGAGTTAAGCAATGACAATATAAACTGACTACCTACCTACCTACCTACCTACCTACCTACCTACCTACCTACCTACCTACCTACCTACCTACCTACCTACCTACCTACCTACCTACCTACCTACCTACCCACCTACCTACCTACCTACTTACCTACCTACCTACCTACCTACCTACTTACCTACCTACCTACCTACCTACCTACCTACTTACCTACCTACCGACCTACCTACCCACCCACCCACCTACCTACCTACCCACCCACCTACCTACCTACCTACCTACCTACCTACCCACCTACCTACCTACCTACCTACCCACCTACAAACCTACCTACCTACCTACCTACCTACCTACAAAATAAAGTTATT